GGGGGGGGGGGGGGGGGGGGGGGGGGGGGGGGGGGGGGGGGGGGGGGGGGGGGGGGGGGGGGGGGGGGGGGGGGGGGGTCGGTAACGACGGGCTACCACCCGCGAGGGAGGTCGTGGACGCGATGGTGGAGTTCCGGAGGATGGCGCGGAAACATGTTCTCGAGAGAAATTTGAAGAAGAACCCGGTGTCGGGGAAGCTGATGAAGAGGTAGGATTATGTAAATGCGTACGGAACGAAGTTAAGATGTTTGCATGTTGTCGGGAAGATGAAGTGGGTAGAGAGGAGAGAGAGGGAAGGAGTCTCGCGGTATCGTGCAAAGTCGTCCGGAGTAGATCGATGCTCGTGAGTGTGGTCCCAAGGACGACGCAGCAGCTTACACCAGCGATTGCTTGTTTTCGTACTTTGGAGAACAAGCGCTTGAGAATATCGCTTCAGACTATGCCCAAAGCCAAGCTGAACTCCTCGTCTGCTTCCTCGACGTTTCGACAACAAAAACGACGCACCACCCAGGGATTTGCTTCAGCTGATCGACCACACGCGCGACCATACCCTGCCCTCGATGGGCATCCACGTCCACGACGAGCCGGACAACCAGTGCACGTGGATGGTGCTTCCTCCGGACCAGCGGAAATCCCGACGCCGATCTGAGGACCAGGCAGAGGCGCGAGCTCAGGCGGTCGGTGGTAGTGGTGGCGTTAAGGGGGCAACGCTGCCTGGGGACGCGATGTGGGCTGACGGCGACGAGGAAGAGCCACCATTGCCTGGCGGTATTCCCGTACCGCCGGCGGCGGTCGGGCACGATAGACGGGCAGGTTAGCGGTACCTAGGGCTACAGAGGGTGCATCAGACAGACGTCCTGCTGCTACAGCGGCGGCGACTTGGCATCTGCCCGTCGTGTTGCAGCGGCGACTCTCGCCATCTGCCAACGATTACGAAGATTGCTGGATTTTGAGTGCGCTTGTAACCTCGTGTTCTACCAGCGTGCGAGCCGTCGGTGGCGGGGACAGGGTTTTTGGTTGGTCCCCCGGTTCTGAAGGGGCCGGTGGATGCCTACCCCCACGCTTCGTAGGGGCACAGGTAGCAATGCGATCCCAGATAACAAGTGATTCACACGTCACCAACCTGCTTGTGCTGGAGCCGACTTGCTGGTTGCTGTGGGCACCTTCATGAGACAACCGACGCCGCCCAGTTGTTTGTCGACACGGAAAGAGCTCCGTCAAAACGATTGGGAAGCAAAGCACCGATCGGCTGAAGCCTGGAGTTTGCAAGTGTAGAGTGAGGTGTGAACACCAAATAGCGTGGCACCAATACTTCCGGAGCATCGCATTCGAACAGCTCCTGGTTGTTTGGCAACAACCCGCCCGTGGGAGCGGAGGAGGAGCACCACCAGAAGCACTATTGACACGCTTGGCGTGCAAAACAAAATACACAGCAGGTCGGATTATTTCTACCCCAGCGGTGAATGGGCTCGATATGGCGCAGCTTCTATTCCGACCCGCATGCTGTTCGTGCAAAGCCAGACGCGGTGGTGCTATGTTAACGCGCTTCATCACTACAGCCATTATTCTGTAACATTTTCCAGCACAACATACGAATGTATCCCAGACCAAGACAGTAAAACGACAAATGTAACACTCGGTGCACTCGACAGGCAACAAAGCGGTACGAGTTAAGAGCCTACACTGGAAAAAGGGGCCCGGCCCTACGTTCATCTGATTTACGTGCATCACTATCGCTGCCTTCTCATGCAATATGCTTACTCTGAGTTTTTCACAAAGCAGTGGTGCTAGCCGGCGCTTCACAGACGAAATCAACCGGATCATGCGCTATTTACAACCAAGCGGTACGCCTGCCCTGTCTGCTCGGCCCTGGCTTTCCCCCAAGTTCGGCCTCGTCCGCTCACGATCGACACGGGCAACACAACTACTCCTACTGTACCTTTGTACCTTCCAAGAGGTACACGCTACATCTTGACAAGAAAAAGAGCTGCGCTCCGAGCGAGACGATCATCATCCTCTGACGCTAGCGCCCGAAACCTCGCCCGTTCGCAGCCATCTATCACTGAAAGAGACAAACCCAACACAAAATCCTTGTAAGTACGGAAATAAAACGCCCATAGACTACACAAGTACTCTTAACGAAGAAGAAATCTACCCTCCGTAATTCACCGCTCCTCGTACGGTCGCACGTAAAACAAAACCCGAATTCGCTTCTGACATCAGGCCATCTGTCGAGCGCTGGCGTGAATGCAGCAAGGTACTCTGAACACACATGAAAACGGGAAACGGACTCGCGTATCCATGCGGCGACAGGCGATAGCCAACCTCCCGCCGTCGCACGCTACAAGCAAACCGAAGATTGATGAAAGCACAAAATTACAATCAAAAACACTCCACAAGGGGAGGAGTCGAATCTGTGCGCACCAGACAAGAAATGAAAATAGATACCTCCTGCCACTAACGGACCAACTACCGGCAACGGAGGCTTGCCACAATCTCACTTCTGACCACGGATGTCGTCCCCCAGCGCTACTCTACTCTGTCATCGCCAAATCAATGCCAAACATTTCTTTGGCGGGCCCTTCTCCGTACTCCAGCGCGTGGTCGATGGCGTCTGGCGTGCCGCCCTCATTCTTCCTCAGCTGCTCGTCGGACGTGACCATCTGCAGTTCGATTGGGAGAAGGGTTGGGCGGGGCGGGGGGGGGGGGGGG